CAAGTTTTTCCACGCCTCAATCGTCGCCTTCCACATTTAGAGCCACGGCTTCGATCCTATTTATTGTTAGTTTAGTGTTAGATAGGTTATTTATAGATAGATATTCGTCACCCATTATTTCTCACCTTTACAACGTACATACGATATTGTACAATTTTTATATCGTGACGTACAAAAAGAAATTTTTTGGAAACATAGGTAAACAAAAACAAAACAATAACAATAACTTTAGAAAATTTTTAGAGCATGCATCGTTAAATTGAAAAAAAAAATCGTAGTTCAAAATAATTGCCTTTAACTTGAAATTAGGCCTACAAACTGTCTTTTGTGTACTTTTGAGTTATAAAATAAAGATAAAAAAAAAAATAAAAAAATCCTTGCATTTTTGGTACGTTTTTTAAAACCCTTTAGCCTTGACCGCACCCTAATTCTAATCTATAATGATAATTATTTTAAATTCATTTTTTGCGGTGGTTACATAGAGGCACAAATTGATCAAGAAATTGATTATTAGTCAATATCTGCAGGGTGGCGGACCAGAATTTCTGGGTACACTCCACTTGTAAAAAAAAGAATTTTAATTCGAATCACACATCTAGAATTGAATGATAAAGATTTATCTAATTATTGGTTGGACTTGGGTGTTTAAATTAGGATCAAATCTGGTATTATATGCTCCAAACTCTTTATTAAAGCACCAAGGTAGGTTTAAACAGCCGTTTTCAATTTTTTTTTGTGCATAACTCTTTTGGTTAATCACATGAACTATTCATACTAGTGATGGGCATCACGATTTTAGGTAGCGCACCCACAAAAATTTTCCCCACCCGTGAATTTATAAAACCGCGTTATAATTAGGGTTAGAGCGAGAACAGTGTAAGGTTAGGGTTAGAGTTAGGGTTATTGCTATTAGTAAAATTTCACAAGGAACATTTTTAATTAGGCCGCAGAAGGTGGTTTCTTAATTAAAATTTCGAGTTATTTCAGTTTATTTGTAAAAAATGGTTTCGCTTCGTTTGTTTACGTTACACCTGATCTTGAAATTTGATTGGCAAAATTCACGGGTGGGGAAAATTTTTGTGGATGCCCGCTATTTCGAGTATTTAGGTAAATAGGTTGATGCCGGCCAGGTAATTTTATTTGGGTCATATTAAAAATCCCGCGTATCACGCGCGGGATCACGCACGGAACCCACACGTGCCCATCTCTAGGTATTACATATCCGTGAATATTTGGAATTACTATTTAAAAATTCCATTCCAAATATTCGCGGATATGCATATATTTAATATCCTATCATATATATATAGCATTACTATAGTAGTTCTTTCTATTCTTTACGAATTACTAATTAAGTTCTCTTTATGTTAGGTTGGGGTTAGAGTGAATGCCTATGTTTTATAAAGTAAGGAAAACTTTTTGTTAATGCAATATTTTGAGAAACGAACATTTGTTTTGATCGTGTTACGTTACACCTGATCTTGAAATGTGATTGGATTCTGATAACGTGTGGGTGGAATTTTGGTGGCGATCTAGGGGTTCAAAATTTTTTATGCTTGCGCATGTTATTTTAAATTATTTTTAATCGAAATGCTAAGATTTTTTCTTTTAGTCAATAAACAAGGTCAGACTCGTTTTTCTAGATATTACTCTGGAATGCCAATGCAAGCAGAAGAGAGAGTTCTAATGGAAGCTGATATAGCGCGAAAATGTTTGAAACGAAGTGATGTTCAGGTGCAAAACTGGGTTCTATCAACTCATGAAGCTCATTATCTATGATATTCACTACTTAATTACTTCATTTATATATTTTTACACAATACAAGTGTTCTATTTTTGAGTATGGACAGTATAAGCTAGGTGAATTTTCCTTACCATTTCTTTTTTAACACTTATTGTAAACCGATGATTCATGTTTTTTTTTCTTTTATTAGCTTATAGGCGCTATGCATCACTGTTCTTTGTAATAGGGTTCGATGAAGAAGAGGTTCATAACTATACAGTTTATATTCCTATTTTTATATCCAATTCTATATTCATACACATATCTTCTTTGATAGAATCATCTTTCTATTTTAGAATTAGTACAAGCTTATGTCGGTAAGTTATATAATGTTTTTTTGCTGTTTCATACATTAACTCCCACAGTTTTAATAATCTAATCTGTTTGATAGAAATATTGAATACGTATTTTGACAACGTGGTAAGTTAAAATTGAAATGGTTAAATGTTTATGCATTCCATAACTTGATTTAATCTATGCGGCTTTATTCTTAAAGTGTGAATTAGATATAATGTTCAATATTGAAAAGGTTCACGTTATTCTTGAGGAAATGGTATCAAATGGTCGCATTGTAGAGACTAATAAACACAATGTTTTAGCTCCAGTTTTAGAGATGAATAAGGCTTCAAGATGAGACTTGTCAAATTATAGAGATAATTCTAGATACAGTATTAATCCAATACGGCTTAAAAATGAAAGACGGTAAGGTTGGCTGTTATAATATTTAATTTCTATAGAGCCAATAGTTACCTATTATATAAATGATGAAATTATTCTGTCAAAAGCTATATATTTTTGTTAAATATTATTCATGTCGTCATAGCATTATAATACTGCATTACAAATCGATAGTAGGTTTATTCTTAAATTTCTTCGCTGCTCTGGCAGCAGACCTAAATCTAAATTGATCCCCATATAAAGTAAACATATGGTCTCGTAATAGAAATGTAAATACGCTGTGTCCTTTAGGAATAACTGATGAAAAAGCAAGAATAAATTTTAAATATATACACAAATTTAGAATAGCAAGATAAATTACTTACCTTTCAAAACATTATCCTTTGTGATCAATTTGAATACATTTTCCGTTTCATGAATGTTGATTCCCGTTACTCCGATATAAGAAGCACATCTTGATCTGGATACTGAGATTATCAAATATTGGATTAGAAATTTGTGTAATTAAATATAAGAATTATGAATTACCTGTTAAAATTGCGCCATGGAAATCTGCTTTCAATAGCTTTTGAGTAAAATGGGCAGGACTCGAAGTTCCGTATAACTCATCAATATATTGAAGCCAAAGTTCATTCAGAGGAATGAAAAGTTCATATCTATAATCAGATATAGTACTTGTATCAACAATTTAAAATCAAAAATGAATATCATTTTTACCATCTTTACATATTCGAGACTTAACCTGTGGCATTCCTTTGGAATTTCGTATATTTTTGTTTCTCTTTTCTCTTTTGCACTCATAGATCTTACCCTCTTTTTCGAATGCTTTCTTTTTTTCTTTTCATTAGAAGTTTTCAAAGGATTGTCGAGTAGTAAAACTTTATCTTTTAATTTTGAAGCATAAACCTTAGTCGAATCTTTGACTGTTTCCTCCAAAATTCCCGTCACAAAATCTGGTACAAATTTTTTTGTAGTTTCGGACACTGGTGGTTGTCGCTATCAAAAACATTGATGAAACACAAGAGCAAAAAACGTTAAGATAGGTTCAAAGAATTCACATACTTCCTTTTTTGTCTCCGGAGAATTCGTAACGTATTTTGGAAGTTGAGAATATATGTTGGACATGATAATATTTTTCTGTATTTAGAGTCTATAGATCAGTAGATTAAAAAGGTCACAGGTAGAGAAAAAATAATAAAATTGTCTTGTATTGCCAAATTTATTTCTGTATTTGGAAAATCCATATCACGTGATAATAAATTTTGTTTTCATAAATTAAATTTTTATTTTTTTTGGATAATCTTTATGAAGATAAACATCAAGAACTAAATGTAATAACTAGATCATAATTAAAAAATAGCTATATAATTATTTATTTTTTCCTTCTGGCCTTGGCTGATACATTCAGCAATCCACAATATGTTTCTAATTTCTTGTTCTTTTAATTTTAAAAACGCATAAAAAATTGCATAATGAAATTGTTGCTGGAAAGTAAGATTGTTAAGATGAACTTCATACTCAAAGAAACGGTCATCTAAAGTCTTTGCTTCACTTGTGGCAGCTCCACCAAAAGAATTTAGAGTAGTGTCAAAGAAAGGTCGATATTCCTACGAAAATGTATGTTAAATTGTATAATATCAAATACAAGTCTAGGAAACGAAAAAGATCAAATGTCGTACCACCCAAACCTCAACAATTGCCTTAACATGATCCAAGGAATCTGCCCTTGCAAGTTTTGTATGTCCATCTGGATATAATTTGCCAAGTTCTGGGAACAATTTTGCGCGATCATCTCTCGACAACTCAGTTTCAAAAGAATTTATTGTGATATTGATAGTACGGCGATCAGCTTCAAACTATAACAGGAAACCAATCGAAACTATTTAATATTGTTTGAATATAATAGCCAATATAAATAACCAATGTAAATAGCCACCTCTAAAATTTCGCTCATTAATTCTCCAGTCACACCACCAATTCTCTTGCAATAATCATAAAAATCTTCAAGATACGCTTTATAAAGCGTATTACGAATGATTTCAATGTTTAATTCATCAATATCAGTAACAGATATTTTTCGGAAGTACGGGGCTATTAAAAAATAAATATTATCAGTCAATGTAAGTTTGATAATAAAAACAAAAGTACATTTTATTACCAAGAGGTGTCTCCACCATCACTGTTTCGTATAATTCCGTAACGTTAGTTACAGCACATAACGCTGGCATAGCATCAAACACTCCAAGTGGGTGACACCGCTCCAGCAATTCATTAGTATCGCGTTCGTGTAAGGTGCCAGTTATTAAAAGTACTACATTATCAATCATATAGGCATAACTTTTCCAGGATGAAATTAGCATTAGATAAAGCCAAATCATATTTTCAGGATTATAGTCAATGAAACCTACGTCAGGTAATCCAAAAATTGAGACAAAGTTGGCATCGCGTTACTACGTACATATTTAAATTCCTCAACCAATTTCTGTGTTGCCTTTTCGTGAATCGTTGAGGCAGCTATAGGAGAGGGTTCATTTGCCAAAAAGTTGCCATAGTCTGTAGCACTAAGCTGAAGTTTTAAGTCTGTACTTGTAAACCCACGGACAGAATTTTGAAGAGTTAAGTACCTAGTATAACTTAGTATATATGCTCAAAAATTCAATTTACCATCCAAGGTTTCACATTGCGTCAAGTTAAGATAGTGGGTTGTGTTAAGAATCGCACTCCTATAACCTCTCACAATACCTTCCAAGTAGCCATCATTGACGTTGAAGTATAAGGCTTCCATAGCGGGTTTTCGATTAGATTAATCAATATATTAAATCCGTAACTAATTCTAATTCTATTTTATTGGTCATATGTAGAATTTTTAAATAACTGATAACCAATCAATTTCGTTTTAAGATCTATGATCTGATAGTATAGCATTTTATCAACCACTAATAGCATCGAGTGCTAATAAAAGCTTTGCATTCTTACATTTTTGAACTGAACATCTGATAGATTTTAAATACAAAGGCCAAATATATGGGCTAGGTGCTGGAAAAAGGAACGAAAATGACAATTTTTTCAAAAGCAATTTTTTTACATAAATTAATTTAAAAATAAGATTAAAGTTATTTTTCACTTAAGACACAAAAGTAGTTGTATTAATAAAATTTTGCA